TGCTCCCCGTCACTCCTTGCTGAGAACGGTAGCCGTGACCGAACGCCGCTTTCCAGAGCCAGGACTCTGACATTGACCCTCATCCGTTCCCTCTCGAGCATCCTCCGTGCCCGTGCCCTGCTCCGTTCCCGGGGAGCCTCGTGCGGGGCCGGGCGCGGCAGCAGCGGGCTCTGCCCGCGCCACGAGCAGCTCATAAAATTTTCATGATCTTGCAAGAAAGTGGAAGCCAGGCTTTCCAACACGTCTGTTTGCCCCCGTTGATGGGAAAGTGTTCCCGCGTGAAGTGTGTGGATGGGCGCTGCCGGTGCCACGCCAGGCTGCGGGTGGCAGCGCAAAGCGCCCTTCACCCCGCCTGGCACCAGGGGAGCGGGGAATGGGGAGGGTGCTCGCTTCCCATTCCTCTGCTTGTCGGCGGTGCAGTGAGAGCCCGGCGGCATTGGGGAAATGCGGCCGTGCTGGCCGAGCTCTCCCGGCCCCTCGGGCTCCAGGAAAGCCTGGACAGGGCTAGGCGGGGGTGGCTATTGGCTTTTCCCTTCCAAAATTAGTGCGAGAGGCCAGGGAAAGCCGGACAGCGCCGGGCACACCGCCTGCGGCACAGGCAGCCTGGCAAAGGAGCAGCGACCTCTCCCCTCTCCTCTATCCCTCACCAGCAGCTCCAGCGCGCTGGCAAAGCTGCCTCAAAGGCTTCGCTTGAAAAAAGAAAAGTGATGCCGGGTGTGAGCGGGAGGCACACCGGGGCTGCCCACGGGGTAGAGTCTCTGCCAGAGCTCCCCCGGCAGTACGGGCAGGACCGGCTGGAAATGGGAATCGCTGTGAGCCAGGGGAAATTTGGTCCGTGCCTGCGTTTTGCAGGCAGTCATTCCACGCTGGGAGAGCGGGAGGTGCGGCACCTCCCTGGGTTTCCACTACTGTCCTGGGCATTTTGGCTTCCCAGCACCTCGGGGTTCGTCGTTTGGTTTGGTTTTGGGTTTTTTCCCCGAGTGTGGGGAAAAGCTGGGGGGAGGCTTTGCTCGGAGGAGCGGCACAAACAGCCCAGGAGCGGCACAAACAGCCCAGGAGCGGCACAAACAGCCCAGGAGCGGCACAAACAGCCCAGGAGCGGCACAAACAGCCCAGGAGCGGCACGCAGCCCGGCCCCGGCCCCTGCCCGCTGCCCGCCGGAGGGCGGGGGTCGGCCGCAATCTCCCTCCTTCCTTCCCCGGACCCAGCTCCTGCCTTGGCATCCCGTTTCTAAAGTTGTCAGGGCCAAAAGCGCCGAGCAAAGGGCAGGGTGTGGTGTTCCGCAGCACCCGCACACTCTCCTATTTGAGGGAGGGAAAACATAAATTTTTTAAAGGATGGAAGCATGGAATGAGCCTCGTTGAAACTACGCGGAGAGCACAAGGAAAAGAAACATGGCTGGTGTGCGGAGGGGTGACATTTGCAGGCACTAGGTCTGCGAGGGGAGGCTGAAGCACAGAAGCAAACGAAGCCAAACTCCCATTTTCAAGGCACCTCTCCCGGTGACCCACAGTGGTTCCCGAGGAAAAGCCCCCGCACGATGCACGATGCCCCGCGATGCCGCTTGCGAGGCGACCGCAGACCGATAGTGCTGCTGGGGAATGTTTCTACAGAGATTGAGCTTGAGATAAAAATAACCTTGGAAAAGAAAAAAAAAAAAGAAAAAAAAAAAGAAAAAAAGAAAAAGAAAAAAAGAAAAAGAAAAAAAGAAAAGAAAATAGACCGTTCAAATTTCTTCGGTTCGGTATCAGATCACCCCTTCACCCCCCGCCGCCCCCCCGCTGCCTCTGCATACCTGAGGTGCTGGATTATTGTCAGAGGACAGGCAGATGCAGTAATTGTTTTGTACAGCTTTGTTTATCTCCTACTTCTGAGTTTACCTCAGGAATTCTCCTCCCTGTCCCATGTAGGGTAGAAATATCCCCGCGAAGGAGCGGGATAACGAATGGGGAGGTTAACGCTGTACGGGCAGCGAGCGGGCAGGTAACGAGGGCTTCAAGGAGGTTTAAAGTTTTTATCGGTAACTTGGGTCCGCCCGCGAGCGAAATATTTGAAGTGCAGCACCTTGAACACGTTTAATTATGGGGTAGTAGTAAAGCGAGAGCTTCCAAGTAATTAGAAAATACTTCTTGGGAGACAGGCTAATCGCTTTTCATGGGGCTCTTGAAGAAATTAACCTCTGGGTGCTTGTTTGAGCAAAACAACTTTGGATCAGCCACCGCTGGTCTTCGCTGATGGACCCGATCCGCTGTGAAATGCAAAGAAAATAGGGAGATGAATTTAAAATTAAATACAAACGGAAGAATAAATGAAAAAGGGAAAGAAAAAAAATGATAAGAAAACAGAAAGCAAAAAGGAAAAGAAAGAGGAAAGAAAAAAGGAAAAGAAGAGGAGGAGAGGAAAGGCTCACTGTCCCTTTCCTTCAAAGCGGCGAGTGATGCGTGTCACCGCAGGGAAGCCACCTCCAAATAAAAACGTCACTTAGGGGGAGAGCCGGCGGCCGGGGGAGAGCCGGGGCCGAGCCAGCACCTCCCGGCCCTGCTCCTCGGTGTGCGCCCCGTCGGGGCGGTGGCACCGTGCGGGCCCCCACAGGGATCTGGGGTGCGCTGCGGGGGCAGGACCCGCTCCCACCTTCTCGCTCCTCTCTCGGGCTCCCCGCGGAGGATCCGAGCCCCGCAACCTGTTCAGCCCTCCCAGCCCTTCGTCCACCCAGCCGCACCTTTCTCCCTAATTTTGTTTCGGGGTATTTCTCCCTAAAGACAAGCAAAGCAAAGCGGCGGCTTTCCCGTCCTAAGGAGGCAAGGGTTTTTGGGGGGTCCAGAGGGTGACGGGCCGGCGTTTTGGGGGGGCAGCGCGGCTCGGTTTGGGGAAGCAATCAGGGCAGATCAAAA